CTCTCTCTCTCTCTCTCTCTCTCTCTCTCTCTCTCTCTCAATTATATCAAATTGTAGGTCCGTGAATTGGCGTCACACGTTGTAGCTTATCACTTTTGCCAAGCTGACAACAACAGTACCTGCCTAGTCCCAGATTTAATTCACTCACTGGCGGCACAACTTTGCCAGGCTCCTCAATTGATCTCATATAGAGAATACCTTTTGTCCGAACCCCATCTTCAAGGCTCATTATCGCAAAGGGAATGCACCGTCAACCCAGATCTTGCGCTTTCGAGAGGTATCATCGAGCCTCTTTTGACTCTGAAGAAAGCCAATAGATTATCAGCTTCGAATGTGGTAGGTAATCGAAATCAATTAGCATATTATCGTCTTGCGATTACGATTATTTTTTAATTAGGGAATAAACGTTCGATGAAATGTTATGTTAGGTTGTGAACATCGCTTGGTATATTCATTTCCAGATAATATTAATTGACGCCGTTTGCGAAGCAGAATATCACAGACCGGACAGAGGCGATACTATAGCTTCTTTCCTAACTAGACATGCACCTAACATTCCCAATTGGTTAAAGATTGTTTGCACAGTTAGAACGCAATTGCTGGACTGTGCGAAACAATTACCATATACGAGAATTTCGTTAGATAAGACTACAAACGATGCGATTGGTAACAGCATTGCGAAGGATTTGTCCGATTACATTGGTTATAGATTAGCGCAGAGTCCTTCTATCCAGTCAAATGTAGCTGCATCGATAAATGGCAAAACAGAATCATCATGTAACGCGAATCAAGCAAGATTTTCTTCACATTTACTTGCACTAGCTAGAGGTAGTTTTCTCTTTGCCAAATTGACGCTTGATCTCATCGAGAGTGGACATTTAGTCGCTAAATCTGCAAGTTATAAGGTATACGATCATATTTTCTAATGTAATTTTTAACGAGAGACAATCGCGATTATACACGATTCGCGACTTGCTTTGACAACGTTACAAACAGATGTCGAAAAAAATTTAATGAATTTTTAATCTCCTAGGTATTACCGGTTTCTCTCGCACAGATTTTCCAATTACATTTTAATTTGAGATTTCCTACGGCAACATCGTTTGACAAAGTACAACCTCTTCTAGCCGTTTGTCTGGCAGCTTTGTATCCACTGACTCTACCCGAAATTTTCTATTCCGTCAATTCTTTAAATATAGATCACTTTGTTTCATGGGACGACTTTTTACAGAGATTTAACGTAAGTATACTAAACAAATATAACAATATACATATAACTATGCATTATAACAAATATTTTTAAACGAATTGTGTAATTTTTTCACTCTTCTTTTCTCTCTGCTCCCAGTCTTTCATAGTGATGTTATGAGAACAATGTAAGTCGCGATAATTTAATATTTAAAATACATTCCCGTTTTATACATACATGCGTGTACGCGCGTATTTGTGTGTGTAAAGTATAATTGAAACAAGAAAAAGAATAATTATTTCATTATGAACTGGCAAATATATTTACTTATATAATTACTTACATAATTATTTATATAATTACTTGTTGAAATATGTATGATTTGACAATTAATTATATCTTTGAATTACAAATTACAATATACAATGCTACATAATGTTAATTCTCGCAATCTATCCATCAATTTAATATAACGGTACCTTCTTTTCTTATCAGATGCTCTCTGGCTCTCTCGTGAAACGTTTAGACAATACATACATGTTCTTTCACCCATCGTTCAGAGAATGGTTGATGAGAAGAGATGAAGGAGAAGCAACAAAGTTTCTATGTGACTATAGACTCGGTCACGCAGCGATAGCGTTCCGACTATCTCGTTTTCAAGCGCCATTGGATGGTGACAAAGCTTTAGAATTAGGCCATCATGTGTTAAAAGCACATGTTTACAGAGGCGTGGCTCCATGTTGGCCTTCGCGCGATTTACAAGTAAATTGTGTACAATCAGCACGATATGATAATTAATCATAGAGACGTATATTAATCAAATGTCATTCGTTTTCAGGCCATTTGGCTGACTTTAGCGACAGATTGCATCTCCACTGCGTTGTGCACGCTTCGGAACATTTACAGTCCAAATGTCAAAGTATCGCGATTGCTCCTGCTGGCAGGTGCATCACCGAATCACATTACCGAGTATTTGGGTAATGCACCGGCTTTATGCATGTATGCGCACGAAGGTTCCGTCGAGATGGTATCGCTTCTTCTTGAGTTTGGCGCCGATGTTGAACTGACTAATAGTCAAGGTTGTACCGCGCTATCATTAGCAGCTGCTCGAGGACATTGTGACGTAGTGAGAAGGTAGAATCATTGTGTGAATCAATACATATCTCTTAAACAAGTTGTAATCTCACTTTCTCTCTCTCTCTCCTCCCCTCTCTCTCAAACAATCATTCATGTATTTGATTAGACTGGCCGCCGCTGGTGCTTCGTTGGGACATGTAGATACTGCAGGCCAATGTCCTTTGGTGCACGCGGCCAGACACGGAAGACTATCCGTGGTTGGATATCTTCTCGCTTGCGATTGGGTACCAGCCAGTGAAAACAAAGCAGAAAATGACGCTTTGGAAATAGGCAGAGAAGAGGCCGCCCAACAAGCTGTTGTCGCGGCTGCATCACAAGGTCATGAAGCGGTCGTGGAATACCTTTTAGATATGGCCGAGGTAATCGTAGATCGTCCCGATACACTAATAGGCGAAACTGCTCTGACGATCGCCGCTGCAAACGGCTCGACTGCAACAGTGTCTGCACTTTTGGCCCGTGGCGCTAATCCTACAGCTGTAAACGCGAAAGGTCTTTCTCCTCTTATGCTCGCCGCCAGAGAAGGGCATTGGGGTACTGCCGAACGTCTCCTGCAAGGTTCGGCATCTCTTCTTTCTTTGGAATATACTTCTAAGATTGTCATGTTGTTATTCACTTGTATTCGCAATCAGAGAGAGAGAGAGAGAAAGAGAGAGAGAGACTGTACATTTGTTGAATTATTTCGCAGGAGATATATCCATCAACACGGATACTGTATCGCTTCTAGAACAACGCGATCTCGTTGGTCGTACCGCTTTGATGTTGGCCGCTTCCGAAGGTCATACCAATCTGCTTGAATTATTGCTCGATAAGGGCTCAATCCTAGAAACAAAGGACAAGGAGGGACTCACCGCTCTCGGTTGGGCTTGCGTTAGAGGACGCGTAACCGTCGTACAAATGTTACTCGACCGTGGCTCGAATGTCGGTACGAACGATAACTCTGGTAGAACTCCTTTGGATTTGGCTGCATTCCAGGTAAATTCTCGTGTACGCAACTAGCATATCATGTATCTCAAGTACCTTCGCGATCTGATATTTATAAAATATGTATAGGGTAATCCAAAACTAGTACAATTATTACTCGAGAAGGGAGCCGCGGTGGAACACGTTGATCTTCATGGCATGCGACCTTTGGATCGAGCTATCGGATGTCGAAATATACTAGTAGTTCAATGCTTTTTACGTCGTGGCGCTAAACTAGGTCCCGCCACATGGGCCATGGCAGCAGGAAAACCAGACGTCTTAATCATCTTATTAAATAAGCTCTTAGAGGATGGCAATGTTTTATATCGAAAGAACAGATTGAAGGAAGCGTCACATCGATACGCGTACGCTCTTAGGAAATTTCCAATTTCACCGGAAGAAGATTGTCAAGGACAGGAACAAGGTCATATGATTCTGCAGCTTCAAACTTTTACACAGCTTCGCTTGAATTTTCTTCTAAATCTGAGCCGATGTAAACGCAAGATGAACGTTAGTAATTTATTATTGCGTATGAATATAAATGCGAACTGTAATAAATTTACGCTATTTTTACATCGATAACGTGAGACATGATTCTTTGACAGGAATGCACCGAAGCTGTTGAACTCGCTGACGAGGCTCTCAGCATCCGACCCGTTTCTTACGAAGCATTTTATGCTAGAGCTAAAGCGCGTGTAGACTTACGCATGTTCGAAGACGCTTTATCGGATGTTCAAGAGGCTCTCCAAAATGCTCCAGCTCACAACAGACAAGATCGCAGGGTACTTGCATCTTTGAAAGATGAGATTATCTCTCGAATCGATGGTGCGGAGATCAATAAAGAACATGATGATTACATCACTAAATCTCGTCTTCGGGCGTCAGTAGACACTCTTACTGAACTGTAATGATATTTGATTAACACTCGAATAAGTTAAAATTATATAAATCGATTCAAGGCCGAATTTAGAAGACGAACGAACAAAGCTTAACTTGAATTTTCCTAAAAATCTAAACAAATGTAGAAATCTCACACTACATCTGTTGTGCAACATCTGTTATTAAATAGTAGCGAAAATGCATTGAAGTCAAAAAGCATATCTATAGCCAATATTATAATTTTCCAGTATAGCCAAAAAATGAAAAATCGAGAATATAATATTGTTGAACAATTCGCGCAGATTCGTATTGATAAATATTCATAGTTCGTTTATCTATTATCAATGTTTTGAAATATGTTTTATTGCACACACACACACACACACGCGCGCGCGCGCGCGCGCGTTGTGTGCAACTTTTTATACATTTTATATACTTATGTGTATGTATATGTTTACATATACATACATACATACATGTGATCGTTTATTATTCCAGTCTGGTAATTGGTTTTAGAGAGCATCATTTTAATTTAAAGAAAAACTATTTAATTGTGTTTTTATCAGTATTTTATATTGCTAGAAATATAATCGTAGCGCAATATTTTTTAATGTATTAAATGCATAATTATGTACAATCAAGTACATTACAAAATTTTTCAGTTATATGCTGAATATACTGAACAATCACAAAAATCTTCAACTCGGACAAAAAAATATCAGATTCATTTCTAATAAAATGTAAAAAGCTCTTTTTAATGTTCAACTTGGCAGAAATATTTATCATGCTGTATCTTGCCATATGTATACAAGATGATTCAAAATTAATGCGACAAGTGCTAAATCAATTTTAGCGCGTATTTCGAATTAGACATTATCTTTGAATATTAAATTATATTTAAATTTATTTTCATTATTAAAGTGATATTAACTTTTTACTTACAATTGTAAGTCAAAGTCAATATCACTTTAATAATGAACACTAAACAGCATTCTTCATTCGACATGGGCCTATAATAGAAGCATCTTGTATATATGTATTCGTGTATACAAAATATCGAATCATACTGCCTACATTCGAAGAAATCATTTACATAGGATTACTATACTCGCAAAATATATAATGCTCATGTCTAACGAGCTTGATCGAAGAGTGTATAGCTCCATTATACGAGCGTTCCATGAAAACAATTATGTTGAATGTTATTGACTCCATCATAACAAACAAAGGTGTCAAATAAACTAACTTTTTATTAAGATGGATTTTTTTACTTCCATACTTCGATATATCTAAGAAAATTACACAAAGTTTCAAGTATCGATAATACAGCAGATATACCCCGAGTTTTTTAGTTACAAATACACGAGCATATTGACTGACATTATATTCGTAAAAAGATAAAATAATACGAGCAATATAAAATTATATAAAATATCATCTAACATTGTTGCAATATTATTATTACTATTATAACTATAAAATAACTTTAGTAGATCTTGTAAAATTATTAGTGAAAGAAAGTGCGAGTGTGTAAATAACGAGATATAAATTGAGCTTTGCGTCGACATTTAACTGTAAAATTTGAAATATAAAATTTGGTCTCAAATAAGCCAGACACCAATGCGCTGGTAATTAAAGTTACAATAAGTACACTTCAATTCAATTAGATATAGATATTATGTTTCATATATATATGTCATAATATATGTACATCACTTAAAAATAACAGCGCCAATAAACTTAATGTCATATACTTCGTATAAATGAAGCGCTGTTAGTAATAAGATTTTTTTTCCATTTTTTTCTTTTTAAGCATTTAATATACAGAAAAATATATTTAATATACATATATTACATATATTTAATATACAGAAAAATATTGCATTTTTGACATATATGTGGTAGAAAATAATTTTTCCAACTATACACGTGTTGAATATTTTTCTATTTCCACTTCTATATTTGTGTATTTCCACTTGATAACAATCGATATCATTTCAATATCATTTTGTAGGATGGATGATTTTATATTTATTATGTTCCTTTGAGAGACAAATAAATTCTTTATAAATCAGCTGATAATTAATAATGAATAAAAGTAGTAAAAGTACAGAGAATGAAATATGACTAGTTCTTCAAT